AGAAAATTTCCCCAAAATTGAAGAAAGACACGCCCATACAAATACAAGAAACACATAGAACACCAAATAGGACCAGAAAAAAAACTTTCTGTGGCGCATCATAGTAAAAACACTAAACATTCAGAACAAAGAGACAATAGTGAAAGCTGCACAAGAAAAACAACAATCAATTATAAAGGAAAACCCATCAGGATTACAGCTGACTTTTCAGTACAAACTATGAAAGCCAGAAGAGCCTGGACCAAAGTATTCCCAGCTCTAAATGACCACATATGCCAACCCAGATTACTTTACCCAGCCAAAATGTCTATCATAATTGAAGGGGAAAGAAAAATCTTCCATGACATAAATAGGCTGAAAGAATTAATGTCCACAAAAGCAGCCCTTCAGAGAGTTCTTGCTGAAGAAAGGGATGACTATACACAAGGAGTGATGGAAAGAAATTCAATGAAGGTATAACTGTGGAAATGCACAGCTATATCAAGAATATGAACAAAATAAAAATGACAGGATTCAATACATATTTCATTAATAACTTTAAATATCAATGGCCTGAACTTCCCAGTCAAAAGATACAGACTAGTTGAATGGATTAAGAGACAAAACCCATCTTTTTGTTGTCTGCAAGAAACTCATCTCACTTTCAAGGACAGGCACTATCTCAAAGTGAAAGGATGGAATAAAATATACCAAGCAAATGGCACTAAGAAAAAAGCAGGCATTGCAATTCTAATAGCTGATAAAATAGACTTTAAACTAAAACTAATCAGAAGAGACAAGGCCACTTTGTTCTGATCAAAGGAACAATAAACCAAGAAGATTTACAATCATGAACATATATTCACCAAACTCTGGTGCACCCAACTTCATAAAAACAGTCTACAGGACTTTAAGACCCAGATTAATCCCAACTCATTAATAGTAGGAGACTTCAATATCCCATTGTCACCATTAGATAAGTCAACAGGACAAAGAATTAACAGAGAGGCATCTGAATTAAACAATACCATATATCAAACAGACCTAACAGACATCTCCTGAATATTTCACTCAAGCACCAAAGAATATACTTTCTATTCAGCACCCCATGGAACCTTCTAAAAAATCGACCATGTACTGGGGCACGAAAAAAACCTCAATTAATACAAAAAGATTGAAATAATTCCATGCATTCTATCAGACCACAATGCAGTAAAGCTTAAAATCAACACCGGAAGAATCCCCAGTAACCACATGAACACTTAGAGATTAAACAACACACTCCTGAATGATGGCTGGGTCAAAAGAGAAAATAAGAA